GGGAGTTCCGTCACTGTGTTTAAGGTTGTGTAATGCTGCTCACACGTAGGGCGCAGCCACGCTCGTGTCTCCACAATGGTCACATTTGCCAATCTGTCCGGACACTGGCTCCAAAGTGGTCACATTTGCCAATCTGTCCGGACACTGGCTCCAAAGTGGTCACATTTGCCAATCTGTCCGGACACTGGCTCCAAAGTGGTCACATTTGCCAATCTGTCCGGACACTGGCTCCAAAGTGGTCACATTTGCCAATCTATCCGACACTGGCTCCAAAGTGGTCACATTTGCCAATCTGTCCGGACACTGGCTCCAAAGTGGTCACATTTGCCAATCTGTCCGGACACTGGCTCCAAAGTGGTCACATTTGCCAATCTGTCCAGACACTGGCTCCAAAGTGGTCACATTTGCCAATCTGTCCGGACACTGGCTCCAAAGTGGTCACATTTGCCAATCTGTCCAGACACTGGCTCCAAAGTGGTCACATTTTTGTCCAATCTGTCCGATCTGTCCGGACACTGGCTCCAAAGTGGTCACATTTGCCAATCTATCCGACACTGGCTCCACAATGGTCACATTTGCCAATCTGTCCGGACACTGGCTCCAAAGTGGTCACATTTGCCAATTTGTCCGGACACTGGCTCCAAAGTGGTCACATTTGCCAATCTGTCCGGACACTGGCTCCAAAGTGGTCACATTTGCCAATCTGTCCAGACACTGGCTCCAAAGTGGTCACATTTGCCAATCTGTCCGGACACTGGCTCCAAAGTGGTCACATTTGCTCCAAATCTGCCAATCTGTCCGACACTGGCTCCACAATGGTCACATTTGCCAATCTGTCCGGACACTGGCTCCAAAGTGGTCACATTTGCCAATTTGTCCGGACACTGGCTCCAAAGTGGTCACATTTGCCAATCTGTCCGGACACTGGCTCCACAATGGTCACATTTGCCGATCTGTCCGGACACTGGCTCCAAAGTGGTCACATTTGCCAATCTGTCCGGACACTGGCTCCACAATGGTCACATTTGCCGATCTGTCCGACACTGGCTCCAAAGTGGTCACATTTGCCAATCTGTCCGGACACTGGCTCCACAATGGTCACATTTGCCGATCTGTCCGGACACTGGCTCCAAAGTGGTCACATTTGCCGATCTGTCCGGACACTGGCTCCAAAGTGGTCACATTTGCCGATCTGTCCGGACACTGGCTCCAAAGTGGTCACATTTGCCAATCTATCCGACACTGGCTCCACAATGGTCACATTTGCCAATCTGTCCGGACACTGGCTCCAAAGTGGTCACATTTGCCGATCTGTCCGGACACTGGCTCCAAAGTGGTCACACTGGCTTGATCACGATCTGTCCGGACACTGGCTCCAAAGTGGTCACATTTGCCGATCTGTCCGGACACTGGCTCCAAAGTGGTCACATTTGCCGATCTGTCCGACACTGGCTCCACAATGGTCACATTTGCCAATCTGTCCGGACACTGGCTCCAAAGTGGTCACATTTGCCAATCTGTCCGACACTGGCTCCACAATGGTCACATTTGCCAATCTGTCCGGACACTGGCTCCAAAGTGGTCACATTTGCCGATCTGTCCGACACTGGCTCCACAATGGTCACATTTGCCAATCTGTCCGGACACTGGCTCCACAGTGGTCACATTTGCCGATCTGTCCGACACTGGCTCCACAATGGTCACATTTGCCGATCTGTCCGGACACTGGCTCCAAAGTGGTCACATTTGCCGATCTGTCCGGACACTGGCTCCACCTCCTCGCGCTTTTGTTTTTTTAATTACTCTTCTTCTTCTAATGCGCCATTATTTTTCTGTGCTTTACCAAAGGCTTTCATACAGTTCACACGGAAGATTGATTAGAAAGCTATAGAGGGGACATGAAATTGGGAACTAATCCGAAATTGAGCAAGAGCAAAAGTTATTTAATAGAGAAAGCCGAGATTTATACTAACTGGAGGGGCCTCGTAGCCTGGTGGATAGCACGCAGGACTCGTAATTCTGTGGCGCGGGTTCGATTCCCGCACGAGGCAGAAACAAATGGGCAAAGTTTCTTTCACCCTGAATGCCCCTGTTACTTAGCAGTAAAATAGGTACCTGGGTGTTAGTCAGCTGTCACGGGCTGCTTCCTGGGGGTGGAGGCCTGGTCGAGGACCGGGCCACGGGGACACTAAAGCCCCGAAATCATCTCAAGATAACCTCAAGATAACATCAAAGATGGCGATCGTTGCAAGTAGAGCGCCCCGGGGCTCAGTCCTGGGATCTCTCTTACTTAATGCAAATATAAACGATTCAGTCACACAACAGAACAGTAAAAATTGCAAATCATAACAACAACATCAACAAATTGGTTGGAAAATTAACTGAGGGAAAACTTTCAATCGATCTAAGACTATTTAAATATATTTTTAAAATGATCAAAGGACTGGCAGATGCAGTTTAATGCTGATACATAGGGTTCCTGACCTAGTTAACCCATAATAGAATCACCAGATACCGGCTGGAAAATGCTGACCAAATGTGAATGTGAAAGATCAGGGCGACATGCTTAGTAGGGATCCTGTTTCCAGACGCATTCGAATGCGTTTCCAGACGCATTCCAGACGTCTAATGATACTCTCCAGCTTCAGCTTGCCCTTGTTAGGTTCCATTAAGATTAAGCAGTTCAGTACAGGTCTCCGGACCATAGAATGGACATAAATTCACTTGAACGCGTACAGAGCGGCCCAGCTCCTGTGGCAGGTAAGTCCACTACGGGCTCACCATAGCCCGTGCTGCTTGGAACGTCTTGGTTCCCAGTAGCTGAATCTTAAACAACAACAACAAAGGCGTAGAGCGAAGGATGACAAAGTTAATTCCAGGATTTAGGAACCTCATGAAAGAAGATTAAAGAATCATAATTTCTTTTCTAAAAAGATGAAGAGTGAGGTGTGAGATGACTAGTGTATATAAATGGATGAAAGGGTATCACAAAGGGGATATATCTAAGATTCTAAATATATCAACACGAAACAATGGATATAATTTGGATAAGTTTAGATTCGGGAAAGACGAATGCGAGTTCTGAAATAGGAGTGTTGATCCTCATGAGGACAGTAAGAGTTGGTGGTTGTCTCTGTCTAATAACATCTTCGTTTAATTATCCACAAACACCAAAATAAAGGTGATTTACCCCTTGCCTCTTCCCAGTGTCGTGGTTCCAGACCCAGAATGGGGCACCTCGCCACCGTCCCTCGGTCAGTGTCGTGGCTCCAGACCCAGAATGGGGCTCCTCGCCACCGTCCCTCGGTCAGTGTCGTGGCTCCAGACCCAGAATGGGGCTTCTCGCCACCGTCCCTCGGTCAGTGTCGTGGCTCCAGACCCAGAATGGGGCTTCTCGCCACCGTCCCTCGGTCAGTGTCGTGGCTCCAGACCCAGAATGGGGCACCTCGCCACCGTCCCTCGGTCCTCGTCAACAGAGCGCGCAGCTACGCCCTTGCAGGAGGACCGGTAAACAAAAGAACCAGTGCCGCTGGTGTAATAACGGAGGACTGGTGTCGCTGCGTCGAGAAGCAACGCTGACCTGTTGCAAGGGCTCATGTTCCCTCCTGGATACTCCTAGTATCCCTCCTTGTATACACTCAGTGTATACAATACAGTGTATTGTATACACTGAGAGTCAGAATACACTTCTCGGTGTGCGTATCCTCTGCATAATGAGATACAGAACAAGTTAGGCTATCTCTTGCTTTATCTACCAAATTTAGGCGAAGATGAACGTGATCATTTAGCGCTAGGATAGTGAACCTCTCTATTAAACTGTTGTGTTATTAAACTGTCGAGACAAAACTTAACCCCTTGTCCAGGGTATTAGTGATATATATATATATATATATATATATATATATATATATATATATATATATATATATATATATATTATATATGTCGTACCTAGTAGCCAGAACGCACTTCAGCCTACTATGCATGGCCCGATTTGCCTAATAAGCCAAGTTTTCATGAATTAAGTTGTTTTCGACTACCTAACCTACCTAACCTAACCTAACCCAACTTTTTCGGCTACCTAACCAAACCTAACCTATAAAGATAGGTTAGGTTAGGTTAGGTAGGGTTGGTTAGGTTCGGTCATATATCTACGTTAATTTTAACTCCAATAAAAAAAAATTGACCTCATACATAATGAAATGGGTAGCTTTATCATTTCATAAGAAAAAAAATTAGAAAAAAATATATTAATTCAGGAAAACTTGGCTTATTAGGCAAATCGGGCCTTGAATAGTAGGCCAAAAAGTGGTTCTGGCTACTAGGTACGACATATATATATATATATATATATATATATATATATATATATATATATATATATAAAGCTTTGGTTATACAAATCACTTATAATGAAGTGCATTGGAGCGCTAGTTAATGTAATGATATCCAAACGAACATACGCAGTAGCAATCTCTGCAACGGGCCTGTTGACCCGTTGTGGGTGGTGGTGTCTCTCTAGATTCTAGATACTAGATCCAGCCTCTCTTCCCGTTGTAGCTATCAAACCTGTTTTCAAAGCCTAGCTATAATATTAGCCAGCATGATGCTGGCTGGCAACCTGTTCCACTCAGTCGTCTGCCACACTGTTGAGTCAAGTTGGGACTTCTCAATATCATTCTTGAATCTGAATTCCTCAAGTTTAATAGCCGATTTTACGGACTCTTCTGACCTGGTCTGATAGTTCAGACCAGGTCATCCACTTGAAGACCTCTATCATGTCTCTTCTCGCACCCAGCCTCTGCAGGCTGAGGTCCCCGTACGTCTCAACATATAGAAAGTCTCTAACATCAGGGGAGTTACAGCGCCCCGCTCCTGTGTCAGGTAAGTCGACTACGGGCTCACCATAGCCCGTGCTACTTTGGAACTTTTGTTCTAAGTAGCTGAATCTAAAACAACTAACACCAGAGATCAGCCTCGTCCCCTACGTCGGATTTTATTTACAGGGTCTGAGTTGCAGGGGTCTGAGTTGCAGGGGTCTGAGGGGTCTGAGTTGCAGGGGTGAGTTGAGGGGTCTGAGTTGCAGGGGTCTGAGGTTGCAGGGGTCTGAGTTGCAGGGGTCTGAGGTTGCAGGGGTCTGAGGTTGCAGGGGTCTGAGTTGCAGGGGTCTGAGTTGCAGGGTCTGAGGTTGCAGGATCTGAGGTTGCAGGGTCTGAGGTTGCAGGGTCTGAGGTTGCAGGGTCTGAAGTTGCAGGGGTCTGAAGTTGCAGGGGTCTGAGGTTGCAGGGGTCTGAAGTTGCAGGGGTCTGAAGTTGCAGGGGTCTGAGGTTGCAGGGGTCTGAGTTGCAGGGGTCTGAGGTTGCAGGGGTCTGAGGTTGCAGGGGTCTGAGGTTGCAGGGGTCTGAGGTTGCAGGGTCTGGAGTTGCAGGGGTCTGAGGTTGCAGGGTCTGAGGTTGCAGGGGTCTGAGGTTGCAGGGGTCTGAGGTTGCAGGGTCTGAGGTTGCAGGGGTCTGAGGTTGCAGGGTCTGAAGTTGCAGGGGTCTGAGGTTGCAGGGGTCTGAAGTTGCAGGGGTCTGAAGTTGCAGGGGTCTGAGGTTGCAGGGGTCTGAGGTTGCAGGGGTCTGAGTTGCAGGGGTCTGAGGTTGCAGGGGTCTGAGGTTGCAGGGGTCTGAGGTTGCAGGGGTCTGAGGTTGCAGGGGTCTGAGGTTGCAGGGGTCTGAGGTTGCAGGGGTCTGAGGTTGCAGGGGTCTGAGGTTGTAGGGTCTGAGGTTGAAGGGGTCTGAGGTTGCAGGGGTCTGAGGTTGCAGGGGTCTGAGGTTGCAGGGGTCTGAGGTTGCAGGGGTCTGAGGTTGCAGGATCTGAGGTTGCAGGATCTGAGGTTGCAGGGTCTGAAGTTGCAGAGTCTGAGGTTGCAGGGGTCTGAGGTTGCAGGATCTGAGGTTGCAGGATCTGAGGTTGCAGGATCTGAGGTTGCAGGGGTCTAAGGTTGCAGGGGTCTGAGGTTGCAGGGTCTGAGGTTGCAGGGTCTGAAGTTGCAGGGGTCTGAGGTTGCAGGGTCTGAGGTTGCAGGGGTCTGAGGTTGCAGGGTCTGAGGTTGCAGGGGTCTGAAGTTGCAGAGTCTGAGTTGCAGGGGTCTGAGGTCTCTGTCTTTCGTGTTCACACGTGTCTGCCGCAGCTGTTCATGTGCGCATCGTTCAGAGGAGAGACAGCTCCAACTGTGACTTCTCAAAGTCTAAAACTTTGCACTTATTTACAGTGAGATGGCTCCTTGACCTCAGTGCTCAGTTCTGCAGTGTGACGAAGAGGTTCTCCAATGTCACCACTGGAGTCATCCATTGCCCCACTCTCCTGTCATCCACAAAGGCCCCAGAACCGCCCCTTCCTCCCCTGGGGCACACCACTGGCGATCCAGCCCGTTTTCTTGATTTGTCTCAACGTACTCAATGAAGGGGATACTAAAACGCCACAACCCAAGCAACCCTCCTAACCTAACCAACCTACACGTTAGAAATTGCGGATATTTATGAACTGCTTACTCCTAGTACCCCTTATTTTCTACGGTGAGGGCAGAATGAGACGCATTAGTTGAAAGGAGCGGTTGCCTTGCATTAATGATCTCCAAGATGGGAGAGATTCTGATGACACCAAAATGACGATGTCAGGATTCATCAAGTAATTTGCCTGACCTCTTTACGAAACCCGTACATCTTGCCTCGCTCACGGCGGCTTTGTGTTTATTAAACAGTTTACGAGCTTGGGAACTTTATAACCCCTGCAAGGTTATTATTGTCATAAATAACCTCAGAGCGCTTCGGGGCTCATAAAATAATTAACGTAAACCATGCTTCCTTTTGACAGAGGTAAAGATGTACAGGTTTAGTAAGTGGACGCTAAGTGCTTGGATGAGCCGTGATCGTGATAGACTCACGAAGAAGGTACCGGAGCCTTCTCTAGCGGCCTGATACAATGTTGTTGTTATAGATTCATCTACTCGGAACAAGTTCCAAGTAGCACGGGCTATGGTGAGCCCGTAACTTACCTGGCACTAGGTAAATTACGGGCTCGGTCTGACGGACACAGATCATCACACTCGACCAGAACCTCTCTCCTGTATCATGTGTCTCCTGAGACACATGCCTTCACAAGGCATCAGTAGTTTAGGCAATGATGAATGCCATCATAAGAACTATCTGACGGAGCCCACACCAAAGACTCCATATATCATATATCATGAAGACTCCATATATCATGTATCATAAAGACTCCATATATCATATATCATAAAGACTCAATATATCATATATCATGAAGACTCCATATATCACATATCATGAAGACTCCATATATCACATATCATGAAGACTCCATATATCATATATCATGAAGACTCCATATATCACATATCATGAAGACTCCATATATCACATATCATGAAGACTCCATATATCATATATCATGAAGACTCCATATATCACATATCATGAAGACTCCATATATCATATATCATGAAGACTATATATCACATATCATGAAGACTCCATATATCACATATCATGAAGACTCCATATATCATATATCATGAAGACTCCATATATCATATATCATGACTCCATATATCATATACGTCAAACAATTTAGGAAATATGCAGTGTTGCAGAAATAAGCAGAAATATGCAGTGTTGCAGAAATAAGCAGAAATATGCAGGCCCATTCCATCAGAGTTGGACCAGAGCTGATGGGCACAAGTTACGAAGAAACAATGAAGGAGCTTAGCTTTATGTGACGGGAAGAGAGAAGAAACACGCAGGCACATGATTGGGAACTACAAAATACTGCAAGACGCTAACCCATCAGAAAAGGAAAGTCCTTTTCTGACATGTTAGGGACAAGAACAGATAGAGAAGAGGAGCGAGAGAGGAGAGAGAGAGCAGGAGAGAGAGAAGAGAGAGAACAGAGAAAGAGAGATAGAGAGCGAGAGAGAGAGAAAAAGAGCGGAGAGAGAGAGAGAGAGAGAGAGAGAGAGAGAGAGAAGAGGAGAGAGAGAGAGAGAGAGAGAGAGAGAGAGAGAGAGAGAGAGAGGAGAGAGAGAGTAGAGAGATAGGAGAGAGAGAGAGAGAGAGAGAGAGAGAGAGAGATAGAGAGAGGAGAGAGAGAGAGAGAGAGAGAGAAGAGAGGAGAAGAGAGGGAAGAGAGAGAGAGAGAGGAGAGGAGAGACAAGGATAGAGAGAGAGAGAGAGAGAGAGAGGAGAGAGGAGAGAAGAGAGAGAGAGGAGAGAGGAGAGAGAGAGAGAGAGAGAGAGGAGAGATAGAGCGAGAGAGCGAGAGAGAGAGAGAGAGAGAGAGAGAGAGAGAGAGGAAGAGAAAGGAAAGGAGAAGAGAGAAGAGAGAGGAGAGAGAGAGAGAGAGGTGAGAGAGAGAGAGAGAGAAGAGAGAGGAGAGAGAGAGAGAGAGAGAGAGAGAGAGAGGGAGAGAGGAGAGAGAGGGAGAGATAGAGAGAGAGAGAGAGAGAGAGAGAGAGAGAGAGAGAGAGAGAGAGAGAGAGAGAGAGAGAGAGAGAGAGAGAGAGAGAGAGAGAGAGAGGAGAGAGAGAGAGAGAGAGAGAGAGAGAGAGAGAGGAGAGAGAGAGATAGAGAGAGAGAGAGAGCAAGAATGTATCACTCTCTCTCACTCGCGTACAGAACCCTATCACAATGTCCCACTTAAGCGTCAACAACACACCCCCCCCCCTCCCCCCTCAAGGTCGTCTTTTAATAAGTGGGACCCAAGGTTATAGATATTTACATGAACCCCACCATGCCCCTGTACCACCACGGGCCAAACAGCCCAATTACTGATGAAATGGTTACGCGGCTGTTAGAGACTCGAGCTGCCGCCTCACTTATCACACCAGAGAACTATGGAATGGAACTATCAGGAGACATCGCTAAGCTAATACGACTATTCACCACTGGGAAAGCGCCAGGGAAAAGGATTTAGGATGGGACGGGGGGATTGGAAAGGAATGATGCCCAACCACTTATGGACGCTCGAGGATTGAACGCCGACCTGCATGAAGCGAGGCCGTATCTCTACCGTCCAGCCCAAGTGGTTGTGTTAGTGTTGTTGAGTTACATTAGTATTCAATAGAGATGTTGGTAGCGCCGACGCGGATGACTTTAGGATGATTTATCATTCTGTCACTGCCACACTTAGGATGATGTGTGAGAGAGTCATACGCAGCCTGACCTTCACTTACAGGACTCACTGTTTACCATTTTGCAACAGCCATGGAGACGCATAAGTGCCATGACGCAGCAGTGCCATGGGTACGCAGTGACTGCTATTGATAGATCAACAGTGACGTAGCGGGGGCCACCACTGAGACAGTGACGTAGCAGGACCAGTGAACATAGGAAATCTTGGGTAGTTGAGACGCTGATCACTCCAGGGGAAGGGGATGCCCCCTTCGCGTCCCCTCTACACTATCCCATGTAACAAGTGACACAAGTCTGCGTTTCAATACTGGAGGTTGGGTCCCAGGAGCTAGTGACTGTAGGTAGGTATGTGGAGATCAACACACCCATTCTCGTCCCTTTCCCCCTTTCCCTCTTTCATTCTAGAGGGGACAATCTGTCCCTCCCTCACGCCTGTACGTCCTCCCCCACCCTATTCCTAACCCCACCCATCCCATGAACACCCCTTTCTCTCCGTCTAAACCCTCGCCATTCCTCTTCCATCGACGCCTCTTCCACTACACAACAACTTTTCCTTCCCTTCTGCCTTTCCACCAATCTGAGCTCAATCGCATCCGTGGTGGAGAGATTGCTTATTCCGATAAACCGGAGGTCTGTTGAGGGTGGCAAAGGATAGGAGATAGACTAAATATTACCGCACTGTGAAGTCATTGACGTTCTAGGGATAAGTCTTGTGATCTTGAATATGTTACAGCGCTCTGTCCTGTCCTGTTTGTTTCGTACGCCTGAGGTGCTATATATAAGAAGTTGTTTTATGTGATACATAGTTACAACATTAAGTGATTCATGTCCTGTCCCCCCATACAGGACGGAGACGTTTGGGCACGGTTCCTTCCCTCTGATGAATCTGTTCGCCTGGACCACGGTGTATGGAGTCACTTTCTGGATCACGGGGTAACTGCTACCTGCACTAGAGGGCAGGGGGCCAGATTCACGAAAACACTTACGCAAACACTTACGAACCTGTACATCTTTTCTCAATCTTTGGCGGCTTTGTTTCCAATTATTAAACAGTTAATGAGCTCCGAAGCACCAGGAGGCTGTTTATAACAATAACAACAGTTGATTGGCAAGTTTTCATGCTTGTAAACTGTTTAATAAATGTAACCAAAGCCGTCAAAGATTGATGAAAGATGTACACGTTCGTAAGTGCTTTCGTGAATCTGGCCCCAGGAGTCTTGTGTCTCTACGCTGCGCACCCAGATAGTTTTTTTTATTGTCTGGCGAACGCACTGGGATGCATTGTGGGAGAGAGAGAGGGAGTATAGTGCTTACGTACCAGTGTCTAGCTCTTGTGCCCCGCCTCGGTGTACCTGTTGTGTTATAATTTAACCATTCTGACGTTCAAATTCTTTTGTCGAATCTGGCCTTAAATGATTGGATGGCGGTGGCTTCCACAATTTCTTTCAGCGCATTCCACTTACTGCATTGTCCTTGTTGAAGGGAAGGAGGAAATGAGAATGGAACGAGAAGAACAGGCGATGAAAATGAGTTAAGCAAACAAAGACATGGAACGAAAAGAAGAGGGGAGAAAAGATAGGACAGAGAAAGATCCCAATAGCAAGGGGGGCCAGATTCACGAAGCAGTTACGCAAAGCACTTACGAACCTGTACCTCTTTCCTCAATCATTGGCGGCTTTGTTTACAATTATTAAACAGTTAATGAGCTCCGAAGCACCAGGAGGCTGTTTATAACAATAACAACAGTTGATTGGCAAGTTTTCATGCTTACAAACTGTTTAATAAATGAAACCAAAGCCGTCAAAGATTGAGGAAATATGTACACGTTCGTAAGTGCTTGCATAACTGCTTCGTGAATCTGGCCCAAGGTCACCAGGGAGCCTGAATCATCATCCTGCTCTCCTGCATACACAAGCAAGAGATGGACCTCGTCGTATCCCGGGGTGTGTGACAGTACCCGTCACGGGACGACAGGATGCGGACGTCCCTCCAAATGGCCTCCTGTCCGTGCGAGGGCAGGGGGCCGATCGATCTCCATTTTAGTTATTAAGAGTGCTCGAACGAGGAGAAGACTTACGCTCACCAGCCCACGAAGGGCGAGTGAGGACGGACGGAAATGCTCTAATGCCTGAGGCTTTGTAGCGTAAGGCGACGGGTGGACCGGGCTTTAGCTCAAGGGCCGTCTCCCAGAAGGAAAAAAAGCAGTTATGCAAAATTTATGACAATTAGGGGGGTGCTCTGCCAATCAGAGGATGGGTATGGGGTCCACTACCACTCACAGGATGGGTATGGGGTCCACTACCACTCAGAGGATGGGTATGGGGTGCTCTGCCACTCAGAGGATGGGTATGGGGTGCACTGCCACTCACAGGATGAGTATGGGGTGCACTGCCACTCACAGGATGGGTATGGGGTGCACTGCCACTCACAGGATGGGTATGGGGTGCACTGCCACTCACAGGATGGGTATGGGGTGCACTGCCACTCACAGGATGGGTATGGGGTGCTCTGCCACTCAGAGGATGGGTATGGGGTCCACTACCACTGACAGGATGGGTATGGTGTCCACTGCCATTCACAGGATGGGTATGGGGTGCTCTACCACTCATAGGATGGGTATGGTGTCCACTGCCATTCACAGGATGGGTATGGGGTGCTCTGCCACTCAGAGGATGGGTATGGGGTCCACTACCACTCACAGGATGGGTATGGTGTCCACTGCCATTCACAGGATGGGTATGGGGTGCTCTACCACTCATAGGATGGGTATGGTGTCCACTGCCATTCACAGGATGGGTATGGGGTGCTCTGCCACTCAGAGGATGGGTATGGGGTCCACTACCACTCACAGGATGGGTATGGTGTCCACTACCACTCATAGGAGGGGTATGGGGTCTACTACCACTCAGAGGATGGGTATGGTGTCCACTACTACTCACAGGATGGGTATGGGGTGCTCTGCCATTCACAGGATGGGTATGGGGTGCTCTACCACTCATAGGATGGGTATGGGGTCTACTACCACTCAGAGGATGGGTATGGGGTCTACTACCACT